ACCGCAGCTGAATGTAAACAAACAGGCCAGTCTGGTTCCCTCTCCTGCTTTACCTCGTATGTGTAGAGAACTACGGTGACACTGATTATCAAAAATCCTTACGCTAATGAACTATGTTCTTTGACTTATGAAGTTTTCAAAGTCATTACTACAAATGAGGGGTGTTAAGAAAGTTCGTTCCGAGATGAAATATTTTCAAAAATTTCAAAGTAGTGCTTAATTAAAAAGGTAAATTTTTAAGTCTGACAAAATCACAAGAGTGTGCTTTAGATTTATAGCAAATCTTTTCTAGCAGGAAATTATAAGATTTTTCTTCCATATGAAAAAATATATAACATCTTTAAAGCACCTGGATGATATAAAAGCTGGTCATTTTGAATGAAAATTAAGGATGATATACTTTTGTTTCTTAATAGCTTATCTTGCATCAGACAAGCTGATTGGCGTAGGTATAAGAATGATATATCACTTTTTCAAAAGAATAGGTTTGTCATTTTGAAATATTTTACAGATTTGATAATTTTTGCATAGTATTTGAAAGGATGTTTTGACCTGCGTGTTGAATATATGTCACAAATATGCATCATCCGTAATTTTTCTGAACAGACATCATCTGTTTTAATACCTGCCCTCCCCTTATTGATTCAACGAAAGACAGTTAAAACCATATCAGTAGCAAGAACACACCCTGTAAACATGAAATATCACAAATTGTAAATATCTTCCCGTCGTATTTCTTTTTGAAAATAAAAGAAAAATGTGGAACGAACTTTCTTAACACCCTTTAGATAAAACTTCGTTTTATTTTTGTTGCTTTATTTAGCGTTTGTATTATCTCAAAAGCGGTTGAGAGTAAGAACTATATTTTTGCACGTAACTTTAAAATGGCGACTATTGGGTTAACATCCTGCCTTGAACAGGATCACATAAGCCGGCAATTGCTCTTTGAGCAATAAGCCCGGCTAATTATGACAAGCCTTTATTATCTGATGGAGATGCACGATGATTCACTTAAAGTTTACTAATGATCAAAGTATATGTGAATTTTGACTAGTCTCAGTCTTTTTGGCAAGAAATTGAAATGAAATGGCAAATTCAAAAAAAAATTATTTTGGACCAATCCCGATCAAAATAAAACCATAATGAATAAAATAACAATTTATTGCCTTTTTTATTGTCCTCCGCTTTAGTGAAAGCGAGGGGACATTAAATCTCATTCGTCTGTCCGTCCGTCACAAAAACTTGAACCTTGCCCATTATTTTTGATTTAGTGGAGCTATGACTTTCATATTTCACTTGTCTGTCCCTTGTGAGAAGACCTTTCTTTGGGTACCACCATATTTGACCTTTTGACCTAGACCTTGGAATTTGACCCACTTTTACACAAAAAATCCAAACTTTTACTTTGGCCATATCTTTTGAATAGTAGAAACTAGGAATTTCATAGTTCACATATGCATTTTTTGTGTCAAGGCCTTTCATTGGATACCAACAATTTTGACTTTTTAACCTTGACCTTTGAAAAAACTTTTACCTTGACCATAACTTTAGAACGGAAAGGGCTAGGGCTATTGTACTTCACATATGTAATCCTTGTGAAAAGACCTTTCATTGGATACCAAGAACTTTGACTCTTTGACCTTGACCATGGAGATTGACCTAATTTTCAAAAACTTTGACCATGGCCACAACTTTTGAACGGTAGATACTACATGTAGGACTTCATATTTTCGCACATATGTATTTTTTGTCGCAAGACCTTTCATTGGATACCAACAACTTTGACCTTTTGACCTTGGAGATTTCCGTACTTATGAAAAAACTTTAACCTTGACCATATCTTTTGAATGATAGAAACTAGGACTTACATATTTCACATATGTATTTTTTTGTGGCAAGGCCTTTCATTGGATACCAACCATTCTGACATTTTGACTTGACCTTGGAGATTTCCGTACTTTTGGAAAAAAAAAAGTTTAACCTTGACCATAACATTTGAACGGTAAGGGCTAAGGCTTTCGTACTTCACATATGTAGTCCTTATGAGAAGACCTTTCATTGGATACCAAGAACTTTGACCCTTTGACCTTGGAGATTTACTTACTTTTCCAAAACTTTTACCTTGGCCATAACTATTGAACGGTTAAGGTTAGGGTTTTCATCCTTCACATATGTATTACTTGTGACCCTTTTAAAGAAATCAACAACTCAGATCCTTTCACCTTGGAGTCTGACCTACCTTTCAAAAATGTATCCTTGGCCATAACTTTCTTTTGAACAGGGGGGGGGGTTGTATTTCACAATCGTATTTCTTGTCTGAAAATCCTACTTTGGGTAATATCAAATATATTTCGTTTGAATTAAGAAATGTTAAATCTTTGTTAGTTGCCATACGAGGTCATCTGTGTTTCACAATTTGACACATCTTGTTCCTTATATTGAGAAGAGATAGGACTTTCATATTTGTCATGTGCATTACCTGTGATAAGATATTTCTAAGCATGCTATGAATTCTTACCCCTTGACCTTGACCTTGACAATTGACCTTATTTTTAAAAAAAATCAACTTCAGTGATAATTTCTAAATAAATAACGTATGATAGGGTGTTCATATTAGACACAATGTGTCATAAAAAATGACATCTCATCCACAAAGACACTGAAAGCGGGGGACCACAATTCTTTGAATTTGCTTGTTTTACATAGGAATATATAGAAAAAATCTTCTTCTCAAGAACCACTGGGCTTAGAAAGATTAAACTCGTATGGAATCATTCTTAGGTGGTGAAGATTCAATTTTGTTCAAATCGTGACCCCTGGGGGTAGGGTGGGGCCACAAAGTTTTACATAGAAATATATTTAACAAATCTGTCTGAATAAATCTCAAGAATAGCTTAGCTATGATTTAGTGATATTTAAATGGAAGCATCCTCAGGTAGGGTAGATTCAAGTTTGTTTAAATCATAATCCGAAGGTAAGGATGGGGCAACGATGGTGGATCAAAGTTTTACATACGAAAACGGAGTAAAAAAATCTCAAGAACAGAAGAGCTATGTTAAGTCATATTAACATGTTAGCATCCTCATATAGTGAAGATTTAATTTTTTTCAAATATTGACCCCTTGGGGTAGGGGGGGGGGGCAACAATGGGGAATCAAAGTTTTACAAAGTAATACTAGTATATAGGAAGAAAATCTTTAAAACAATCTCTTAGCTAAAGAACAACAAAGTTGTATGCTATATTGATATGGAGTCATCCTAACCTGGTGTGTTCTTGAAACGACAACGAAAGATAAGGCTAAATCGTTCAATTCAGATATTTATAGTAAAATAATACCGTTTCCATGAACACCTCTATTTATGAAATATTTGCTGTAACCTGGTTTTACTTCAACCAATGACTTTGCCACACTGTCCGCTTTATACATTAGATCACAACCAGTACTTAGATGATGTTGTTTCACAGGCACGTAGCAACACGGGGGGGGGGGGCTGCCCCCCCCATTTTTTTTTTTATTTTTGCTTGTCAACCTTTTCAGGTAAGTCAAAAAAATTTCTCTGGCTGGCCCCAACTTTCAAAAACGATGCTACGTGGCTGTTTCAAACAGACTTTGTGCGACCGCCTATTATAATCTTGGAAAGTTTTTCTCCAAATCAAAGTTGTGGCCAAGTCAGGAATTTTATATTCTAAAGCCAGTAACTTTGTTAGAATACCGTAGGTTACAAATCCGCCACGCGTGCAACAGGTAAAAAGTGGAACGCCGTAATTGTACATACAATCTGTATTCTCCTTAGTCCGAAAAATCTTTTTCGGACTATATTCTCCTTTGCAGCAAGAGAAATAGAGGCTGGAATGTTCTCTTCCTCTAAAGTTTATAGCATATTTATAACCTAACGTAAAGGTCATTACATAGATCAACTAATATTAATTGTCAGTTGCAGCTTTAGTATAGGTACAGTATATTAACTGACAAAAATGAGTTCACTGCGTTAATTATTCTCGATAACTTGTAGCAAATTTGCGAAGTTTAAGTTGAATGATGGATGGACAAAGAGACATCTAGACTACAGTACAGTAATATTTTTTTAATCTATGGATCAATTAGATACAAATATTATCACCATCAGCTAATTCCTCAACTCGTATCTGATCAAAACTTGCAAGATCTATTGCGGCACATTTGTTGCCAGGGCTATTTATTCCACACCCATTAATGTACTGTTGAAAGTTGTTGCTCTGGATTGATGGTCCATTGCGTGATGAAGTGCGATTCCAGAATAGTACATGCCGATTCCACCAATAGCAACCCCAAGCACAATGACAATCCAATTCACTAACTTGTCGTACCAGAGCAATTTACTACCATGGATTCGGAGATAGAAGTAACATGGCCATACAAAAGACAGCATGGTACCCGTAAAACTCCCGACCAATCCCATAAGTATTGAAAAATGTGGTAAGAACACGGCTAGCAGCATAATACCAATGACAAGAAAGAATCGTAAGACAACAGTCCACGGTTTTAACGCGTGTTGATCCCCAGAAAATGACGAAAAACGACTCTTCAAATTGAAGCATTCTTGTTCAATTATTTCAACAGTTGAAAAGTACGGAAGTGGGAACGAAAGTAGAGCTTTAAGAACCAGTATAAGGTCTATAGTGATTTTGAATCCAGGCTGTGTTAAATTATTGGTGATAACCTCCATCGTTTCTGTTCCCCAGGTTAAGAAGCAAACGTATGCGAACACGCTTTTAAAGATGGCAGCAGCGATGTGAGTCCAGTATAACATCTGTGTGAATCGTTTGGGGTTTTTCATGTTGCCTTCTAACGTTGGTGCAAATATTTGTGATGTGTAACTAAAAACAACAATCCCAAGAGAGATTGGAAACTCCCAAATGTTGATCTTCATTGGCATTTGGTCCCAGTGCCAATGGGACACTTGAGTTAAGCAATATACTATGATGATTGCGTTTATTATCATATGAGTTACAGTGCACCAGAAGCTCAGGTTGGACACACATCGAATACTTCGTAAAAACACACAAGGAAGAAGTGGCACGGTACTGAGGATTGTCCACGTGGCAAGACTCACGTCACGTGACCGGAAGCAACCATGAAGAAGCTCTCCACTAACAAGAATATAAAGGATACAGGTCATGGAGAGTTCTATTACTTGTGCAAAAATTAGCAGAAGTCTTCCGAACTTAGCCCCCCAGACTCTTTCAGCGATGTCAGCATAGCTGTTGCGAACTCTAATCTGGTTGCCACAAGAATATTCTTCGTACAGACATTTTACTATGATCTTGCTGGTATGAGTACAGATGACGGCCACCATGGAGATCGCTAGAAGAGTCCAGTATCCGCCTTGTCGAAGAGCGTACGGGAAACTTACTATAAACATCCCCTAGAAATTCATAAACAAAAAGTATGCAAGATATTTAGAATTTTTTTTTAGATATATTTGATGTTGAAATGAGAGGGTCGAGGGGAAAAAAGAACTCAAGTGATCATGGTGGTAGTATTTAACGGTAGCAAGACTAACCTGGATCGCATTGGTGATATTCCACCCGGCCTGCCAGACCGTTATTTTACCGTCAGCAGTGTTAGTATTTTCCTCTTTGAATAAAGATTTCATTTGGTTGTCATCCGTTGATATAATGTCCATTTCGCTCTCATTTTCAAAAGTATGATATTTTCTCTCAGAACGAAACTTATCACTTATTTTACTCTTAATGCTATGAAGGCAAATCATATTTACCCTTTTTCAATAATTTTCTCTTGTAACTAATTTTTTGGTCCGTCCGTTACTTTGATAAACTGAAACGTTTTTCGTTCTTACTTAATATGGAAAAAAGTGTGCTTCTTATTGAATTGATGATTGACAAAACCAATTAGATACCAGTATTTATTGACTCGAATCAACACTATATAGATTGAGCTTGACTTTACAGGAAACTTTCTTTGCACTGACATTATATTAAGAAATAAAAACATGGCAAAATAAACTGCACATCTCTACAACAGGCTATTTACTAGCATTTCCCAAAAATTATGATATCCGTACGGGATTTAGATTTTTTTTTCAATTTACCCCACCCCCAACCCCACCCCACGCCTAATATTGATGTACAATATAGGACCGTGTAAAAATTCTTTCCTACAGCATATGAATTTTTAAAAGTATCATGCAATACTTTTACATTTTTTGTGAATTAACATTGATTTTGTCTTAAATTTTAATAATTTCCCAATATACTTAATACTTGCGATAATTTCTGTATCAGAAAATTTTCAACCTTGTTCTTTTCTGGCACATTTGTCTACAAGAACCTTGTAGAGTTCTACAATTGTGACCATTTTGCTGATCCATCTGACTGACCTTTATCTGTTAACCCGTCTTTTATCAGTCACTTCTGGTGAATTTTAGTGACAATACATATTCGTGGCCTGATATATCTATGGATTTACCTAACCAACTTCCTTTTTGCATCAGGAATTTTTAAAAAAGATGCTACATTTGAGAGCAAAAACAACGATTGGTACCTATCTGCAATACGGACTGCTGGTAGCTGTGATCATCAACTTCATTTTGTTTGCTGTGTTTACTATCACACATCAGTATTTTAAGTCTCATGCCATTGTAATAATAAATCCATTTCTAGGAACCAATATTTCACTCATTCATGTCCAAAATTTCGGTTTGGACCAAATCAGGAAAAACTATGCATTGCAGGGTTTGGGTGATGACAGAAATGTACGAGGAGAGAATGTGCTTGATTCTCGGAATACTGCATTAATGGACATAACTGCCTACCAACGCAATACGCCAATGGTTCCAACCAGGAACCTAACGTGCAATGGTTGCTTTAAATACACATACGACTATGTTATCGAAAATCCCGATATATGCACCAATTCCACTCAACTTCTTTTTCTTATAGCATCGGCACCCGAAGGATTCGATCAACGTAACGCTTTGCGGAGAACGTGGCTAAATGTCACTGAAACTCAACGGGGTTTGGTGAAGTATGTCTTTTTGTTGGGTTTATCTACAAGGGGTTCTATCAACGATATGATCTATGAGGAAAATGAAAGAAATCATGACATAATCCAAGGAGCGTTCCGTGACAGCTACTGGAATCTTACGTTGAAGACACGTATGGGTATCAAATGGACAACAGAAGCCTGTCCAACGACTAAATTCGTTATGAAAACTGATGACGATATGTGGGTCCATGTGCCAAATACTTTGTCCATTTTGCTGCCAAAGTATGGGCGGATCTTCGAAACACATATCGGAGGTTATTGTATGAAGAAGGAAAAGCCTCACAGAGACCCAAAGTCTAAGTATTACATATCAGAACGTTCGTACAACAAGGAAGTTTTTCCTCCATTTTGCAGTGGAACTGGGTACGTGACGTCATTCAAGGTGATCAAAAAGATCCATGAAATCGCGGAAAATGTTCCGTTCTTTCCACTTGAAGATGTATATATTGGCCTTTGTTTAGAACAGTTAAAACTACACACGACGAGGATAAAATGGTTTTACCACTACAACCCTCCATCGAAGCACCCTTGCTGGTACAAGACACCGTATATATTCACAGTACATGGCCTAGCACCAGAGAGGCTATATAAGATTTGGGATGAAACATGTTTACTTTAGTTATTTTTTTTAAAATACATATTTATCCATTATTAGTTCATTAAAGACTGACAACAAATTTAATTTGAGTGAATTGGCAGCCAATAGAATTCACAATGCAAGAGGCCTATGGGCCGTGAAGGTCACCAGAATACTAGTATTATCTTCAACTATGACCTTTGACCCACCTGGAACTACCCTGAAATTTAAGACAAATCTTTTACACATTGATTGAGATTGTAGTCATTATCAAAATCAATGCAGGTAAATGCCTTCTTGAAGTCCAGAAATAAAGATGAGGTACAAGGTATAATAAATTTCAATTTACATATATCACTACCCTGTGACCCAATCTGTCCCCAAGGAAACGAGAGCCAAAGGCTTATTAAGATCATGCAAATGAGTTTGCATGCTACATGTCCATAATTAATGAAGATTCTCAGCAATATAAATTACCTTCAATATTAGACCATCTCAGTCCAACCTCTGGTAGTCGGACCATAAATTTCACATTTCTTGGAAAGGGTTAGTCCTAAAAAACATACGAAAGTTTGACTGCCACTATGGCATATGTCATGAGTCAAAGGAGTATACATATCCAACTTCCCCGACCTACCCAAATGAAGGACCCAAGAAGCATTAACATTGTCCAAGGGGTGTGGGGGGGGGGGCATAATTTAATTAATTTGGGTAGAGAGCTATATGTTCATTACAATAATGTAACCTTTTGACTATTTAATTGAGTACATGTAGATAAAATACATCCATGTACTAATATTTTCATAACATGAGCATGCACCAAGGCCCACCTTAGGGCCTAATTAAACCATTTTAAAATTTTGGCAAATGGTTGACAACTCACAGCAAGACACTATGATCATGCAACATCGATTTAAAATATTAGATATCTGTGAGAAAGGAAGATTTCATATTAAGGTGTATGTGTAAATAATGAATTTTTCAATTATTCATTTTCAATTATTCATTTTCAATTATGACCAACTTGGTTCCATCGCAGTCGGAAACAAGTGGCATTTTTATTTTTGGAAGACCACATTACTTTTGATCTTTCCAAGAAATCATATTAATCAGATATGCTATGTACCAAAGTTTTTGAAATTGATTCAATGGTTTCAGTGAAGATGAAAATGTTTAAAATATGTAATGTTGAGCCTTACAAAATGAATGACAGTTGAATACTGTATACAGGGAAATTTTTGCCCCATTTTATTTTCGCCCCTTTTGCCCTCGTCAGAAGTGGGCAAATTTAAAACGGGGCAAATTCAAAGTAAACAGTATAATATCTTAAACAAAAATCTCTCTGGGCAAATTTAAAACAGGACCAGCTTGTTTCCAAATGTGAAAGAGAAAAAATAACAAGGGGCAAAAATAACCCTGTATACAGTAGTTGGTAAACCAACTGACAGATGACCCCTAAAACATTAGTCTTTGCACATCCATACACCAAATTCAACAAACCACAAATTCTTCACAAAGATATATAAGATTTTATTAAATAACATAAAACAGGTAATATTTAATATATGATGATAACAACTTATAATATAGAATTTCAGCTTGTCTGTGCAAGTTTACTTTTTGCATATATTTATATATACATATATGTATTAAAAACAGATATACATATGAAGAGGCTGCAACAAGCTATGTGTAACAAACTGCAAGTTAAATAAATCCATAATTTACATATATAAAAATAGAAAACTAAATTGGAAGAATTGGTCAAAAAAAAAATTAATAGCTTTCATAAATTTTAGATAATGGGGTTATGTCAGCACAATCTCTTTTTCTTGAAGTGAGAATGAAAAGTATAGATTGCATGTTTTCTTCATTTGAATACATTAATTACATAATACATATAGTTATAACTTCAAATATTTATGATGAAGTGTTTACATATCTGTATTGGTTGAACAACTGGTAACTGTGAACAAGAACCAGCAAAATTGTGAATTCCTACTAATGCACCATTTCTTTATCCCTGAGTCATTCTCCAGGAGCCCGAAATGTATCTGAACACTTTGTTCTATATAGACATTTACAAGTTTTATATCTAACACTCTTCTGGATATACATTTATATATTTACAACTCTCATTCAAATCGTAAAACCACCATGTTAAAAAAAGTCATTACCCTCAAGATAATGAAAGTTAATATGAAAAAAAAAATGAAATTTGAGGGGACTTCAATGGGTAAAATAGCACTTCAAATTTGGTACCTCTGAAATCTATAATATTTGAAATATTAATTATCAGAACTGGTGATGTACTCCATTGTGTGTATTTAAGGGTGTGGCATCTAGAACCAAAGAAACGATTTTCAAGAAATGTGAGGACCTGAAAACAGGAAATATTGTGACCAAAATGCTAATGTACAAACTTTATTTTACAGTGTAGATAAATATTGGAAGCATTAACAAAAATTAATCTTAATATGATAAAATACAAAGAATGAAATATTGATAAACAGAAGAAAATCATATACAGTCAAGAGATTGTTTTGTTCAGTTTAAATATGAAGAATTTGTTCTGCAAGTTGATGTTTCTATCCCATGTGGCATCTGCGTACTAAAATCGGGGTTTGGATCTGTCGTTTGTCATAGTTCTCCTTAAACTAACATTGGCAAATTTAGGATTTCTTTGGAAACTGTCAAAAAGACAATAAAATAATGTTATCATATTACACATTTAGCATACAATTACAACACAATTTATAGCATATAACATCTTGTGTATCAATTCTATAAATTACATGTACATACTTGAAAACAAAACGTTTAATCTACTGTAAATCACTTTTTATTAGCGAGAACTTTATTTTCGCGTAATTACGTGAGACAGTGTGCTCGCAAAAATATAATTCTCGCGTATTTTAGTATTACTTAAGATTATAGAGAGCAATAACCTCAATTCGTGAAAACTTTGTCTCACTTATCAAGTGTCAATGACTATCTCACGAAAATAAGGTGTCGCGAAAATTAAGTGATCTACAGTATCTAAAGGTATATCAAATAAATACTAATAAAATCAAATAGAGAGACTATAAACTGATATACAAATGCTCATATTTTCTATTTGATATATTGTATTTAGCAGCTACTCTCTATATTTTGATTTGGTACAATGTACGTGTTACTTTGTTTTTGATATAATCTCATGTCTTCTGTAAATTGGATCAAAAACACCTCATGCAATTAATATATAGGTATAATTTTATGTGATATTGACAATTAGTAGATGATTTTTTTCTGGGAAATGATAATGATTCCAAAGCATTGGACATTTTTTCAGTTAGTATCAACATGCAGTTTAGAAACAAAGTAAGTGTTTACATGTTATTTTAACATGCCATGCTCACCCAGAAATGAACTGAACAATGAATTTATATTTGTATTAATAAATTAAAGAACTCCTACACAGAATTAAAAATATCTACAAGTCTCTTGGGTGGGAATTTTTTTAAAATGTTTTTCATTTTTTACATCTTCAACAGGGTTTGTATTATTACATGTATTGGGTTATGTTTGCATTTTCAGTGTTTTAATAAAAAGGTAATCTTGTTATAAAAATGCACGTACAGACATTTTTATTATGACACAATTGGTCAAGATTTCCGTGACTCTAAATGTAAATATGTGAATTACTCTGAGTCCTCTTCTTCTGTCCCAGAATTCATTGCAGTTCTGCGTTGCTGTCCACCAATGGGAGGGGGCCCAGGCGGGGCGGGAGGAGGGGGTGGGGGAATGCTGTGTTGCTGACGAGACATGTGACTATACCCTGGCATGCTTCCCTGGGTGTTCTGGTATAAATTGTGATACGTATCAGACTGTGCAGCTGAAGCAAGAGAGTTTGTGATTGGTGCAGAACAGGAAGGAGGGAGTGGTGCTGGTGGAATGGTGTAAGATGATTGGTTGGTTTTCTGGTTTTGAGATGAAGGGTTTCTTCTGGCAGGAGATTCTGACATGTGGGATGAATTTAAACTGGGTGAGGCTGAGGAAAGGGAGGAGGAGGGGGTCCCATTGCCTGGGGAGGGGTGTTCAGAGGCAAGAGGGGGTGGGGGTGGGGGCAGAGGGGGAGATGGGGGATTATTGCCCCTGGCCTCTGGTCTAGAATAATTGATGCCCTGCTGATGAATGGTTGATGCTTTCTCTCCAGGTTGCTGTTCACAAAGAGGTAAAATTTAAAAGAAAAAATATACACTGATATTAAAAATAAAATATCTTTCACCAATTATCTTTAAAGCTCTGATAAGATTATTTCCTGTTAATATTCACCAATTCTTTTAGTATTTAAAAAGGTAGGAACTCTTATAATCAAACACTATTTAATAGAAGAACAACATTTAACAAAGAAAAGGGTTAACATTTTTCACTGGATTGAAAGTCTGTTAATGTCATGAATTATGTGCTATTAGAACTCGGTGTTCATTTATTTACAGATCAAATCTGATAGAATTTGCTACAACTCCCTCGAAATACCGAAATATTCATAAATATAAATAGCAGAAGTTTATTCCCCCACTATTTTTAAGATCGTTTTTTTTTAGTTTATTGCCAGTAGAAGCCTCAAACAGAAGGCATGTGCATAGAACATTAGTTGTTTCATGTCAGTTTTAAACTTTATTAAAATGCCCCCATGTTTAAGTTCAGCATCAGTACATAAGGTACTTTGATTTTTTGTACTTAAGGTTGCGAGAACTTGCATAGTAGCAATATCTTATCCCAAAACAAATCCAGTTAGTAAAAAACATTTTTTACGGCATGCAAACCCTACAAACACACCAATCAAACAATTGTTATAAGGTATAGGTCCATAACAACATTCCAGCAGGCAATATACCTGATGGTCTGAGGGCAAAAAGTGGTAAATGTGGTCCATATCAGAGCTCATATATGCCCCCTGCCCTGTGAATTGACGTGGTAAAGAATAAGAGCCCATAAGACCAGGATGTTGTCCTGTCCACCCGGGTTGGTGGATTTGTGACTGAAAAGTTATGGATTGGTGAATACATGTGGTAGTCTACATGTTAAATAAAAATATTGATCAAGCAGAAAGCAGTGCCTGATTTAACATGAATGAACTAAAGCTAGAGATTCTATGTGTACCAGGAAACTACACAAATGAAAATTTTAAAGCACAGCAGCATACAAGTGTAATATTTATAGACAAATTTCATGCAGTAATATTTACACTTAAAATATTTCAATTAAATTTGCCATTTATCTTGTAACTGTAAAAATTGAAGTCTGAATTATTTGCTATTTGAGCTTTGGCTAAGTTTTTGTTTTTAAAATCAGAACTTGTATATAAAGGGTAAAGTATCATTCACTTCGTTGTCTCCCTTACCCTCATGGGTAGAGGACTGTGACTTCCTGGTAATCTGGTTCCCGACCCTTCATACAGGGACTTGGGTCTCTGGGCACTTCCTGGCATGCTGT